CCCACCAACCACCCCCACTCTTTCCAGATCCTCTATGTCGTTAACACTGTCTTCACACCCGAATTTTGGAATGTGACGTAGAATCTCATGTAGAGGTAGTTGAAACGTTTTGGGGTTTTTTTATGTGAGAACGCTGTCCAGGCATCTGGTGAGTGCACCAGTTGTCCGGAAAGAATAAATTGTACACTTTTACCTTTACTTTGAGGCTGAGATTCCTGTTACGCCAGATTTTAAAATAACTTTCTCACGGATGTTGGAATTGCTCATTCATTCGTCCAGGGTCAGATCTGCGACTGACATCGGTGATCATGGTTCTCTATTCCTTCCTTTGCTCGGATGCTCTTTAAAAAAGCTACGTTACCCTGATCTGTCCCCGTTACCCATTTGTTTAGGTTCCCTAAGTAGGTTACTCTGGGCCTACCGCGGTCTCGTTTGCCTTCAATTTTGCCAAGAAACTGTTAATGTCTGATATCTAATTCTTGATCAAGAGCCTGCGTTTTGTTGATGGTGGATTACAAGTACATAAAGAGGTCAAACTTTGCATTCCAAACAGGGAGTCCGATTTTTAATAATTAGGTTGACTAAGATTGATATCGTACAATGCACTTTGTTCGGGTTGCTTGAAGAGGCAAATGCTTATCTGTGGCATAATTAAAATTGAAAATGGACTGAAAGAAAAAATTCAGAGATTCCAAGTAAAGGTGCTAAATAGGTGTATGACCATCGCCCCGCTATAATGCAAGAGTTCTAAAGGGTAAAGGACCGCATCGACTTTTTCTTTTTGTTCCAATGAAACTTAATAAAAGTTCGTAATAGTGTCAGCTGGTGGGTTTCCTTTTTTATACGTTTCAGTTTACTTTTTACTTTTTACATTCTTACTGTTTAAAATCGATTAAATAAACTTACCAAAACACACGTACGATACCTGTGGTGACTATAGTAGAGACAGTACATAATTCTTTTCAATGATGTTAGCTTAAACTGCGGATTTTACAGATGATAAGTGTTTTCAAAGTGTTCCTAAAACTGGCGTTCATGTTGTAGTAAACGAGGATGTTGGCAGAGGCGTTGATGGTCTGGAAAACGAAAGTTCCCACGCTCATCAGAATGATCACGTTGTGGAAGCGTCCTCCTAGCGCTAGTCCAGACACTACCCTATTGATGAGGACGACCACAAGCCGGACAGAGTTGCAAACGAGGGACAGAATGGCAAGAGCTGTGACCGTCTTCACGACTCTCAGGTTTTTTTCTGACAGGAGTTGACCTTGGCCTTGCTTCCCAATGGCTTCTTTGCCAGAATCAGACTTGGCCGCTTGGACTTCTTTTTTGGTACGAGATGGATCCTCTTTCGTTTCCCCATTGACGTTTGGAGGTGTGGCAACTTCTCTGCGCTGCCGAAACTTTGTTGATTCTTTCAGACCTCGCACCATGACGTAGGTAGACACTAAGACAACAGCCTGGCACAGTGCAGCCATCACGGTCTGAAGAAAGAACCGAAGGTACAGTTGAACGTCTGGTCTGTAGTCAGCGACCCAGAGAAACAGGCGGGTGGTGTTGGTTGTGGGGTCCCAGCGACTTATGAGCCCTGTACTGACGTAGTGAGGAACGTAGGCCGCCACGGTGAAAATGTACAGGGCTGAGACGATAACCACGGCCCTTCTGAGAGTGAATATTTCTTTAAACTTGAGAGGCATAGCAACGCATAAACAACGTTCTAGAGTAACGAAAGCCATCACGGCTTGTGATATGTCGTAAAACATACTGCAGATGTAGCTCACGACATAGGCGAAGGAGTAAGAGTGAATGACTGAGTAGACGTTAAAGTGGATAAGCAGGTTGTAGGTGTAGATGATACCTCCGCTGAGAACACTGCAGAGATCAGAGATTGTTAGCGCCAGCAAGCAGACAGACACGCAGTCCTTGACGCCCTGATGGAGAAAGACAGCTGCGTTGATGAGATTTGCGGCTACACCTAACAGGGCCACTGGCAGGGCCACGAGAAATCCCATGTACAAACCCACCAGATCTTCAACAGAAGCCATGGTTATCCCCAGAATACCTTCAACAAAAGTATTAGAGGATTTCTAGAAAGTAAAAAACTGAGTTTTCTGTAAGAAGTATACAGGAGATTAAATTTGTATTCTAATAGCGCCCCATTTTCTGAAACAGAATCTACTCTTTGGTTGTGAGAGCACGGACGATATGAGAACGGAAATCTTGTCTTCAGTTCCTCATAATATTTCCCACTGCTAAACTTTCACTATTCTATTAACAACTACAACTGCTTTCGAAACTGGAGAACAGTAACAGCTGAAGTATATTATTATATTATATTAAACTTCTGGAGCCCTTCTCTTTATGTCAATCGGAATGGTTTTTTAACTATCAACCATCAATTTCTATTTATTTTAATCTCTGTTTGAAATAGAATTTGAGGAAGTGAAAATACCCTTATCAGTAAACTTGCGTCCTCTGTAGATCTAATGATAAATCGTATGTTTGATAATTTTTTCAATTACCCTTTAGTCTCCTCTGAATCTCGACAAAGAGAGCTATTACATTATGAGACTCTTCAGTACAGATTAGTTAACGCTCGTCTTTTCACACGAGACAGCATCAGTATCCCAAAAGAATTATACTATTAAAAAGATATGTTTAAAACGCTGACGTCTTTGTAAGTGAAAATCGACACTGAATAGCATCGATTCATTTTTGCGTTACCTCTCACTGCAGTTAAAGCATACCTTAGGTAGTCGGCGTTCAATAAACGATTAGCGAGTTTGAATCCTCTTAACTCGTTTTCCAGACTATCATCTCTTCCGTTATTAGGAAAAAGAGCGCAAAAGGTTATTGCAGTGCGCTGCACGGGCATTTATCCTTGCCATTTAGACACCTCTTCAAACTTATTGTTGTTCAATGATGCCACACTTATTGGGGTTACTTTGACGCTCTGTTAGTTCAACTCCACTGGGGACACGTGCCAACAGAAAGCAAAGTCAACACTTACTTTCCCATCCTCTCCTTATTCCGTCAGGTACATAAGGTGGTCGACGCCACGCTTGCCTGTCCCTGGCCATCTCCTCCAATCTTAGAACATTTAGGTCCTGGGTGATTGTCTCAACCCTGATTGTGCCTCTATAGTTCCCAGTTGGTCTACCTCTTTTTCTTTTCCCAGCTGGTTTCGAATACTATTTCTGATAGGGCCATCTTGTTTTTGGTATTCTCAAAACATATCCTAAATACCTATATTATCTTCTCCTTTTCATCGTCGTGTCGATATCTCCAATTCTAGCTCTTACCAACACTTCAATACATTCATTCCATTGTATTAATAAAACTCTTCGTAAACACTTTGTTTGGAAGCTTTTTAATTTTCCTTGAACTACCTTGTTTGTTTTCCATATCTCTGAACCCTACATCAGTAGTGCCATACCTTTGCCATAATGCCATTATATCTTTTAATTTTCGTCTTCAATGAAATGATCTCTGAATTCCATACGGCTTTTAATTTTACAAAAGCAATCCATGCATTTTAGGTCTTTGGTGGACTTCGTCAGTGCAGTCTGCTGTTTTGGAGATCGTGCTGTCACGGTACTTGAATTGACTAATTTCTGCAAGAGGTTCTCCATGAAGAGTGATGGGAGTAGTTTCTGGTGACAATCGCAGCTCTTCTGTTTCGGAAACATTTATCACAAGGCCAACTTTTTATGAAGGTCCTGCTTATCCCTGTATTGCTTTTATTTGCATCTCACTTACTATGGTGTTGCCATCCGTAAAATCCAAATCTCCCAAAAATTCTGTGCCATTTGTTCATCCAATGTCTGTTTCAATGTCTTCGCTCCGTCTCATTACAAAATCCATCACAATTCCAAAACGTGCGGGTGATAGTATACTGCCTTATCTCAATCCAGTATTATTTAAAAAGGTGTAGATAGTTCTCCTTAAACTAGGTCACATTATTTTGCTTTTGTAGGTAAAGATTTTATACAGTTTATTATTTTGTTTGGGGTGCCATAAATTGCAAGAATTTTTCACAAGGCCTTTCGGTGTATACTGCCAAAGGTTTTGTTTTAGTCCACAAAGCTCACAACAGAAGGTTGGTTTATACAAGATCTCTCTGGTCAAAATTCCACCTGTTCCTCACTTAGTCTATCATCTATTGCTGCTCGAATACGCGACAAGATAATAAGAGCAAAATAGTTTTCTAGGCACTGATTTAAGCGTCATTCCTCTCCAATTTTCACTCTATTAAATCTCTCTTCTTTTGGTAGTTTTATTGTTTCCCTTTCTCCTATCCATAAGTGTGTATTCTATTTCAAAAGTTTCATTTAATAAAAAAAAAAAGTAATATCTCACAAACTTCAACAAAACGCTAAAATAAACAGAAATAGCTTTTAGCCGCCCAATTACACTGGACTACAAGGAATTTGCTTCAACTTGAAACCAATTGATTCTTGCCAATTTGAATTCGAAAGTAATAATCGTTGTTTTTTTTAAATGATCAGGTCTAGATTTTTGCCCAGATAGAATAGCTAGAAGCCAATTTTCCTAATTTCTTATTATATTACATTAAATAAATCATCAGTATCACTATTCCATGTAATATAATAGTAATAATAATAATCATTACTATTTTATTTACTCATTTTTTATTTATTTGTTGTTGGGTTTTTTTGGTAAGTGTTTCACGGTCCTCGCACTTTAAACATTTTCAATTTAGTAGAACATTTTGAGGGACCTTCCAGATTTTTCACCCTTGTCCGAGAAGGCTAGGTGTAAATCTTTCCTACCAGAAGACCAGGGGTGTTGCTGAAAGACAACTGTAAGAAGGAGCCATTTAGTAGCAGTAGAAATGCTGCGAAAGAGTCAGAGGCCTACATGAGAGGGCAAAGAAGTTTGAGGGGGTGGGGGCAGAAAGTGGAGACGAAAGTAGACGACAGGACATTGCTAGAGAGCAGGAAAGGAGGAGAAAGGAGACAATTTTAGAGAAGAAAATTTTTTCGTCGTTACCCGGATTCCAACACGGGACCTTTGAATGAGAGGCGAACACATTAACCTCTAGGCCTCGAGAGCCCCCTTATTACTATTAATTATTATTCTCAGTATTGTTAAGCAAAGAACCATCGTCACACTTCTTGCAACGTTTGCCAAAGAGCACAAGTGTATAAACCATTAGACATTATTGATTATATTCCAGTTCCATATTAACTAAAAAATTGGGATCCAATACCTGTGCTGGTGGTTGACAGATACACCAGTCGTGTGGTTTAGATCTACCTTTTAAAGATCCTTTCTGTGAAACCACTGTGGCCAGAACTCTGTTGACTTGTAAGCAATTAGCCCCTCCTCCACACCCTTTTATTTAAGTCTTTCAATAAATAATCGACCAGATCGCGACCTCGGTGCTTTCTTGTTGTAATTTCCATTTTCTAAACGGTGAAATTGTGACTTCTTCTTAACGTCACTCTTTGTTATGAACTATTTTCACTGTTATTAAAAGCTGTCCACGCGGTTTTATGCACACACAAAATTCTGCTATGCAAACAGCCCAAAATGTGAAATTATGCGATTCTGTTAATTTGAACAAAGAATGATAAAGGAAAATAATCAGAAATTATGCTAAAAACTGATCAGATTTTGCTTAAACACGCGGGTTGCATAAACCTATATTATGAAAACCCCGGGGACAGTAAAAGTGGAGATACGACAAGAAAGCACTGAGGTCGTGAGATGTTAGAAAAATTAATTAAATCTCAACTCTCTTTTCCCCACAGAGAACAGAGGACATTCTCATCTGCACGCCCTGCTTGAGTGACCAAAAATGTTGAATTTCTATAATGAGATGGTACGACCAGCTCACACTCATGGCCTCACACCTTCTGTGATTCAAAACGTATTGACGATGTCTCTCCTTTGGAGCATTAACTTCAAATTCAAGATCAGAAATGAGGGAAGTAGTACTTGGGCTATCTACCTCCTCAATGTCTACTGCTCAGGCAAAGCTGTATTATGCATATTATGGTACTGCTTTAAGATCATCTGTCGTGATGCAAAAGGCCAAACGAGATCGGTTTTGTTTGTATCATCTGTTTTCTCTGCATCTCATCATACTAGCTGGCCTACATCTGTGGAAAAATGACTAATTGTTTACCCTTGCACGCCGAAGAAGGAAGTTCAATTCGCTGGTAGGGAAGGTTGTTTTATTGATAATCTCCATATTTCGATGTTGAATGCTTTATCTCTTTCAGCCAGGCTGACCCTGACAGGAAGAGCAGCAGCTGCTCCTCTCCTGGGACATTTAGTGTCCGAGGGTGCCTACATTTTCTGTCAATAATAATAGATAATAGAGAGCATTTGTATACCGCAAATCCCCGCTCAACAGCAAGCTCTATGTGCTTCACAATCTATGCTATTACCCCAGCAGACCTGAGAGCACTCTGAAACAACCTCAACGTCCTGGGAAGTATACAGTGCAAGCAGCCATTATTCCATTATTAGGCGCTAAAACACCAACATACAAACACGATCTTTCGATGTCTAAGGCAGGGTACCCATTTCCACCTGGGTGAAGTGAGGAAAATTTGAGTGAAGTGCCTTTCCCAAGGACACAACGTTGGGCCCGCAGCTCGAACCCCCAAACATTAACATCAACTCAATGACAGCTGTTACAGACACTGTACCGGTAGGAAACGCCATACAAGAAACGCTTTTACATTTACTATGTATTTCCCCGACTCGTGATTGGTCTCGGCACTTGCAGAAAGGGAAGTCATGCTACTGATAGCAGGTAAAAATTTCTCACTTTGTGAATTAAACACATGTACATTCCAACAACATTCAGAGAGATCATAAAACAGCCCGTGGGGTCAAAATGATTGACAAATGTGTTGAAATAGTATATGTGTCACGACACGGTGGAATCAGATCACTGATATAATATTATTAGTTTTTAAACATAGAGTATGATCACTTTAGTTAATAAACTGATTGAGTCACTCAGTCAGAGTCTTTGGGTAATTAGGTGAGGGGGTTTTTAATGCTTCTTTTCACCACACCCAAAACAAGGAAAATTGTCAAGTTCCACACAAAGAAGGTTACAATATGTGAGGCAGCGTGGGAAAACAGGTGCACGTCAAAATGTAAAAAATTGGAGAAACAGGTATTTTTGGCTAGTTTGAAAATTTTTATTGACCATCAACCCACTCCTTCTCTCTCCATCCTTAAAAATATTATATCTCTCACACTCACTCATCCAGTTGTATCAGACCTGAAGGATTTTGTGGAGCACACTGCAGCAGTTGCAAGCATGGGGAGGCAGAGCAGTCTTTCGTGTTGTCCTGTCCCAATCTGTGTCCCTCCCCCCCCCAGAAACTGAGGTTGTTAGGTGTCAGTTTTTCTCTCTCTTTGTGCCTAGTAATTGGTAAAGGAAAGGAAGAGGAAGGATGGAGAGAGAAGGAGTGGGTTGATGGTCAAGCCTCCCGAGTTTAAAAAGAGCCATTAGTTGGTGTAGGGTGGAAATTGAAAAGATCATTCCGATACTTTTTGTTCAAAGTAGTGCACTGAATTTTTGGGTAACAGTAGTGAAAGAGGTGAATCCAACCGTAAAAAAAAAAAAGATCAACAAAGGAAAAGTCAGAAAAATGACTAAATAGTAGACGTTCAAATAAACAGCCACATCTTTACCAGAAACTTTTTCAAATAAAACAACATACAAAAATCATGATTACTGTAAAATCACATTTTCGTTTTATTTATCTTGACAGAAATGTTACAAAATTTCATCAAAAGTGATCCATGATATCACCCATCTACCTTTTGCTGCAACTTTTGGCCATACCTCCTATGGAGCTGAGAAAGAAATATAACATTTTTCCATGTCTAAATTCAAATAAATATGGTGCTGAGCTATGACAAACCTCGTTGGTCACATCTCATGCTTACCACTATATCTGATTGCCATGATACTCAGGAGTATAGTTATAGAGTTAGAGGAGTTAGTGAAACACTGGCAAAAATACGAAATTTGTTCTTGGTTGACGAGGGTAGTACACTTGAGATGAACATCCCAAGTCTGACCCAAAATTTTACAGAACAATTCGAACTGCATAAGGAAAAGTTGGAAAATACAAAAACAAACAAAACAGGAGAAATCACAGATGCTTAGCCCGAAAAAAACCCCCCAAAAACCTGAAAGAAAAGTTGCACATAAAATTAATATTTCGCTGTTCGTTCCAAGTGAAGTCAGAATACAACAGTTGAAGAATTCCCCACCCCCCCCCCCCCCCAATAAAAGTTGAAAACCCTGTTACGCTAGAATACATTGCTGCATGCTGCAGACACATAACAATAATAGATAGCATTTGTATAGCGCAAGTTCCCGCTCAACAGCAAGCTCTATGCGCTTTACAATCTATCATTTCCCCAACAGACCTCTAGGCATTCTGGAACAATCTCAACTTCCTGAGAAGCATACAGTGCAAGCTGCCATTTTATAGGCGCTAAAACACTCACATACTGACAAGATCTTTTCGCTGTCTATGATGAACATGCTCAAACATTTGGCTGTTCATTTTTGGTGTATGGCACCTTACCCCACCCCCCCCCCCCCCACAAAAAAAGGCTGCCTAAAACAACAAAATAACATTATCCAGTCAAAGGCAACATAGCAACTGAATGTTAAGCAGCCAGAATTTTTTATCCAAGAGGTTCTGTAGCCTGCAGCAGCCACTGGTACACTTCCTTCTTGCCCTGACGCTTGAGCTCATCACCGACGAGACTGCGCACTTTAGCGTGGTACTGGTTCAGCCATGACACCTGACGTGTAATAATTCATTATGTCATAAACAATAGCAATCAAAAAGATTGTTTGTTTCAGTAAAAGTTTTATGGAACTTGCAACACAATTAGGTAATAGCAATAAAAAAAGATTGTTTGTTTCAGTAAGAGTTTTATGGCACTTGCAACACAATAAGGTCATATATGTGACAAAGATTAGAGGTGTTACGAGAGAGTAACAAACAAAAAAGAAGGAGGAGAGATGCCGACATGTGTGTGTGTGTGTGTGTGTGTGTGTGTGTGTGTGTGTGTGTGTGTGAGTGTGTGTGTGTGAGTGTATGTGTGTTCACACGTGGTGAAACACCAAACCAATGTGCCAGGATCTGGACAATAAAGATGTATCTATCTTATCTTATCTTAGATGTTTAGTCAGTTAGTAGTATAGGGTTTTACGGCGCTCGCAACTGCGTAAGGTCATATGAGCGCGCGAAACACAAGTTGGTCTTGTTCACAACAGTTCACTGTACGGCTGGCTTGGGTCAGTAGTTAAATCTTAAAATGTTTAAAAATCAGTGTAAATATACATATATTTTCAATCTAAAACAATTTTTCTAGTTAACATAAAAATTTTAAATAGTACAATTTTACTTTACAATTTACCATAAAGGCCAATGGCCTTCACAAAATTCAAAATTCTGCTGGGAACAACGACGGAAAAAATGTCATGCAATTTCTTGCATTTATATTTCCTTCGGATCTCTCCAAAGTCTAGACATTCAGTTAAGATGTGTCTAATGGTAAAATCTGTGTCGCATCCGACACAAAACGGCTTCTCATCTCCCTGTAGGAGGTATTTGTGGGTCAGGGCCGTGTGTCCGATGCGCAATCGAGTAAAATCTTAAAATCTTAGATGTTTGATGGAAACGAAGGAGCAAACCACACCAAAGTACCCACCAATCAATCACCCAGGAAAAAGACTACAGTACACATATTAAATGCTTGTTAATGTTACAACAAATTCAGGGCATAGACACCAGTTTTCCATTTCTTCAGGATCTACTTATGAGTTGAACTGCATCACACAATGATAGTCATGAAAGTAATTTAGAATCATACTGGACAGAACAAAGACCACAGACCATTATGGGAAAAAGAATAATCTTTCAATTGCATCTTTCAGTTCCCATTTGTTAACTTCTACATTTGAAACATCAAAACAGCATATCAATCTAAATTCAAAATCTCAAAATAAAATAAGACACAGGTACCAAAAAGGATGGATATGCAACAAAAAAATGATCAATAACAAAATGAACAAAAGATCAGGAACAATACCAACCCAAGAATAATCCCACCATCCAAATGTTTCACAAAGAAGTATTTTAACATACATCTTAAACTTATCAATAATTACAATTACAAGTTACCTCAAATTCAGTGAGAAGAGAAGCATCAATCATTTTCTTCTGAATCGGCACCACAGTGATTGGCTCAAATGTGAGGAAGCCAACCTGTCCAAAGTTATGCTGTAGAAGAAGAGAGAAAACTGTAAGTGATTTTTCCTTACACACAAACCTTTTATTTCTACTAGATACTGGTGGTGCCAGGTACAGAGAATGAAAGTTCACAAAAACTTATTTGATTTCAAAGGAGTATTTCAAAATTACATGAAACACATTTGCAGGTTTTACAAAGTTGTACAAAAAGTATTTTCACCAAGCCGTACTGTAGGTGAAGGCTTCTTAACCCTATCTGTACACCCTGAGGTCATTTTGTACCCACGGGGTTGCATTCTTCACATTTTAGAGTACTTCTAGAACGAAGATCTTTTTGAAACTTTCAGTATTTCTCAAAAATTATTTTGACAGACTGCTATGCAAAGCGTACGGATCGGATTAATGAGTAAATTTACTCTGTGCAAAGTAATGGCACAGAGTTCTCCACGTCGTATGGATACGATAGTAAAACACGACGTACGGACGGGTTAAAAATATTGCCTTTCACACATGACGCCATGGTTGACCCCATTCTGGCCCCACAGAGAGTAGAGACCTCAGACGTGCCTGACAGGTCAAATAAGTTCTGAGGGAGACCTCAACTTGACATTTACAGGTACCCAGTTTTGTTTCCAAACTTTCAGATTTAATATTTTCCCCAAAACCTTCAAAAACTGTCTTCTGTGGCTCAAGTCAAATCAAACACATTTAGCAAGGCAATGCTATGAATTACTACTCCAAATTTTCTTTCACTTTCAATGGTGAAACTGCAGTTCAAAATCTGACTTACTAGGTGTGCAGCAAAAAAAAAAAAAAAAAACCATCATCATAGTCTTGACCAAAAATCCATTCAATTCCTAATATAGATGCTGAAAGACATACATACAAAAAAAAGTAATAGATGGTTTACACCTCATCAACAAGATCATTTAGGGGGCAAGCTGATTCGACCCTGCCTGTCAGAGCCAATCCAAGCTGAGAAAGATACAACATCTCAGCAGAAATATAGCACAAAGATACTCAATAAAAATTCTCATGACATGGGACTTGAACTCACGCCTTTTGTAAGTGACAGTGAAGCGCCTTATCCCTACACCACAGATTACATAAGTACTTAAAAGCTTACTGAAGGCTGACAAGTAAAAATATTCACTACTGATGAACAGAATTCTTTTTTTAATCACCCCCATTATACTAAATCATCTCTATTTAGTTAACAAACAGAGGAACTCTAACAAAATTGGCTCCATAACAAGACCAGCATAGTAGTCAAAACAAGGTCACACAATGTTTTATATATGAGTGTGTCAAGGGTCAAATAATAATATACACATTTCTTGTTCTAATACAGGAGAGGATGAAAGCAGCAATCTTCACCTTTGTGTCAGCTTTCACAACTTTGATGCAGTTCTCAATCCGAACTCCAAAGTTTCCATCTTCATAGTAGCCGGGCTCTGTGGAAGAGACACAACCATCAACAGAGATCACATTGTGATCTGTCAGAAAGATGTCAGCTTTTGAATGCTTAAAAGCATAGTTGGTGTGAAGCATTGCCAATGTATATATAAAGAAGCTGAAATGGCAAACCACTGCTTACCAAAAACGTGAAGAAAAAATACACTTAAACCTACTCTCCTTGTACAAACTACCATTTCCCATTCCCCCAACCCCTATAAGTTTTTTTGTTGCATAATAATAAATAACAATAATAAATAGCATTAATTGAATAGCACTAATTCCCACTCATCAGCAAGCTCTATGCACTTTACAATCTACATTATTACCTAAGCAGACCTGATAGCATTCTGAAACAATTTCAACTTCCTGGGAAGCATACAGTGCAAGCTGCCATTTTATAGGTGCTAAAACACTAACAAGATATTTCGCTGTCTATGGTTGGGAACCTATTTCCACCTGGGTGAAGTGAGAAATATTTGGGTAAAGAACCTTTCCCAAGGACACAATGTCAGGCCTGAGGCTTGAAACCCTGAACTCACAACCTCATAATCTAGTAGCCTGACCATTAGACTTCCGAAATCAGAATCCTGAGGTCCAGAGTGTCTCGATAGAGCTCATAATTTAGTCATACTTGTACCAGTAACAATGTCTTATTCATTTCTGGACCAGAGCTAAAGTCATTAGCAGGACTGACTTTACTTACCATCTGTGAGAACCATATTCTCCTCCAGTGGAATTTCATTATTCCTGACTCGGAATGAGATCCCACAAGGCCCTGTCAAAATACGACAACATATTTCATCACATTCAACTAATACTATTCTGTTTGCAGGAAATAAATCCAATGAAACATTCCAAATTCCTATCATTCACTTGGCATATTGTGGTTGCATTGGAAAGGAATTTCAAATACAGTTCAGAACACTAAGGTTTAAATCTTAAAAACAGAGACCTATGAACCTCAGTGCTTCAGAGAGTATTTAAATAGAATTCAAATCATCATTCCATTGTATAGAAGATCACCATTTATCTTTGTATCTTAATTCTTACACACAACCAATATCTAAAAACATAAAAATTGCATTCAATAATCAGGTCCTACACAAAATGAAAATATTTTAAATTGATGCAGCAATTTAGCAAGAAAGGGTAAAGGATCAAAATTTTTGCTGAGGGTGGTAACTTTCTAAAAAACTTTTTTACTTCTGTCTATCCTTAGACTATCGGGAGAGAAAACAAGAAGAACAATAATACCTTCGTGGACATTCAGAAAAGCTCCGACTCCATGACCAGTGCCATGCCTGTAATCCAACCCCACTGACCACAAGGATGTCCTTGCTAGAGTGTCCAGCATTTGACCTGAGAGGCAGAGAAGAAACAGCCACATAACGATGGTGTTCTGGGGGGTGTTTTTGTTTTAGAAAGTGTTTTACTTTTACTGCACTTGCAACACAATTGAGTCATATAAGTGCTGAAAATTAGAGGTGTTACAAGAGAGTAACAAACACAAAAATGGAGAGATAAAAAAGATGGATGTTTGATGGGAAAGAAGGAGCAAACCTTACCAGACGTGACATATCCACATTACAATAATAAGGTACGGAAAGAACTGTTGGCAAATTTTTATTGATCATAAGCAAAGTCACAATACTTGAGGAGACACTTGACAGGTAGACAGAAGACGTCGCTGTTTGTCAAAAAAAAGTCTACCTTTTTTGTTAAAAAAAGCGTCCCTTTCTGCAGTTCTCTAAAGAGGTGAAATTGCGTTTTGCAGAAAAAAGTTTACCTTGGAATGTGCCTTATCTTTCTAGATACGACTGTACTAGTTTCGGCCAAACTTCTAAAATGGAGGCTGTCTTGTTTTGTCATCAAACAGGTCAAATTTAGAATTAAATACAAAAGTATACACTCAGAACGGACATGTAAAACAAAGACACATTGTTTCTCCCTTTTCATTCTATAAAGTAGATGCACACCCAACTTCATAAGCCATACCTTTGATTCCATTTGGGAAAATGGCTGACGACAAGTTGATGTGGCCTTTGAGGACTCTGGTAAAACACTCCTGCAGATGAAAAACCAAGCAAATGAGAACATTTCAGATGCTGATACTTAGATTACATCATAACTTCTTAAGAAAAGGATGGATTTTTGGGGTGGGGGGGGGGGGGGGGGGGGGGGGGCGGGATTTGAATTTTAGGCCCGGACTAATAAAATCTGCACTGGCATAAAGTTTTCCACTTGTTTGAAAACATATAACAGATCATAGAATTAAAAGCTCACAAAACAACCTACTCGAGGTTTAAGATGTATCTCAATAGAGGTTCCAGAAATTGTAAAACCATTTCATTAAAGGCACTTGTGTGGTAGAATGGGAAAATGTTGCACAAAGGAATACTTCTATAATTTCCTCCTGGATCATCTAAAAATTCTCCATCAGTTTGGAGCAATTTGCTTTACTATTTAAATGTATTTTTTATTAAAACTGACAAATATCTGTGGTTCCAAGAGGAAAAGCTAAGAAATCTTTACTTTGTTCTTCTTCCACATACTTCCATTGAAGCCTTTCTCAAAACCCAACTAGGATAAAAACTACAGAATAAAAACACAAAGCCTATTTCCAGGAGATATTTGGTCAACCACCTGAAATTTTTAGGACTTTTGATGGGTTTCTTAGAGCTCAGTCCCATATTTGCGATATTCATCTCTGTAAATCAATCCTTTTCCATTGATTACCCAAGAAACAAGTTTTTACTTTTGCATGTTTGCTTTGGAGTCAAATCTTCATCTTATTCCAAATAATCTAGAACAGACTGCTTTTAAAGCTTGTTGCTCAAAATAATTAGCTACAAATAAGACCAAAAAATATTCAATTTCAATTACAAATTTCAGACTAAAACATTTTTGGCGGGTTATAGACACTCAAAGCTGTTTGCTTCACAAAATCCTATGAAATGATCACATTTGACTAATTTGATTACACCCACATTAAACATCAGTAGCAACCATCCATAACAGTAGGAAAAATTTCAGCAACTGTTAATTTACAGTCTAACACACGAATTACAAAGTCGACAGAACGCAGAAATCTTACTGATTTTGCTATGTACATGTTTTAAATACAAAGAATATACAAGTAAGACAAAAATTGGGGCTTAAAATTCTGTTTGCGATGCTCATGTTTTACTGTGCGCATGCCAGACTGTATTATATTAATTAACATGGTGTATTGTAATCATACTCAGACAAAAACCAAAACAGTACAAAAGCTGTTGTCTGTAAAGACAAACTGCAACAATTTGATCACTCAGTATGAGCACATTTTAAATTACCGCAAAATAAGAAACCATCCGCAAAGTCAGGAAGTACATTCAAACACTAAATTAAAACGAAGTTTTTTCTCTCTCTCTCTTTCCTCTGGGGCTGAGGCGCCATAAACGGTCAGCGATGCCGACAGCACGCAGGAACTCAACAGTCCCTCGGGGGTCCTTGAAAAGTGCTGAGAGTGGGTTACGGAAATGTTTTCCCCCTCTTATTACCCAGCTCCTCAAGAAAGACACTCAACAATAAGAAGAGACCTAAAACAGAAAACCTGGCTTCAAGCACTTGTCTACACACTTTACACCACACACAACAGAGGCCTACCTGCTCGTGTTTGGAAGGGGTGCCGAGGTGGACGGTTCTTGTGGTGTCTGTAGTTCCGTCCCTGGAGTAGTTATACACAGATGAGAATTATCAGTGAAGGACCCTTGCAATATCAGTCAAAAACTAAACAGCTTGTAACCACTTGCAATATAATGAATATATGAATATACACATGATTCATTAAGTTCTTGTCAGTATGAGAGAGTTTATAATATTAAGGTAAATTTAAGCCGTTGTCTTTAACTGACTTTTTACTAAATTACTTTTTGGATTGTAGTATAAAGATAAAGACTGAGCTATCATTCTGTATTTTAAGTTACACTAAAAAGAAAAAATGTGATTCATCATGACACTAGCAAAAATGTGCTGATGAAAACTAAAATTTTACCTTCACACCTTGGTCACCACTACACAAAATCATCAATTAGTAGACTGACTGATAATATAATGACAAGCAAAATGAAACCAACTTTAACCACTGTATGTGGCTTTGAAATTTAAACATCTACGATCTTTCCCACCTGTACTGAGCTCCTGAGTCCACCAGAAACACTTCCTCTGTGGTGACTGGGGTGTCAGTATCAGGCGTGGGTCTGGGGACAGTATACAGGTTGTTACATGTCTTCAGGCAAGATGAGAATTTCATTTGTGACAGAACTATAGAAAAACGTTTATTTAATACAAAGCTGTGGTTAAAAAAAGGAAAAATGATTCTTGAAGACTTGAAGAGACCAGTCTGATTCAGTATCTTATCAGAGTACATACATACTTCAAGGCCAAAAAGATACCATGGCAATAAATATGAAATTCATAAATCACATTTTTTACTCTTCACAAGTGGGTTTTTTAAAAATCGAAATTTTGTAAGTACAACCTCGAAAGTTACTCAGAAAAATAAAAGAACAAATGCCAACACTGAATTTCCTTTCCTTTTTTCTTCAAAGCAACAAATGAAGTCCATGCGTATTTGTTCTTGGCTGTTCATCAACAAAGGGTGAAAGAGCAGACTAAACTACAGACTGCATACAGTGCTAGCTCCATTAACTCATTCGCTACGCCGAGCCGTGGGGGGCGGCGCGGCTCAAGTGCCGTCAGTACGTTAAGCCGCCCCCGGCGGCTCGAGAACCGACGTTCAATTTTAGCTTGGTTTCTATTCCAATCCACTTATCCATGTTAAAAGAAAGGTCATAATGTAATGTTGACTTCCGGGTCAAGCGTTTCCACCGAAAATCGGAAGTTTTGATTCAGTTTTGAAACATGATTTCGTAGTTTATTCGACTTTGTTTTATCGCGAAGCCCAAATTATAGCCCAGACACCAGTCTTAGTACTTTTACACAACAAAATGTATAATTATTTTGCTCACTAAAGAAGTGTAGGACTCTTCTTTATAATATTTATACTATTGGACGCAAATTGCCGGTGCATTGTAATTGAGAAATCAATATTTTTGAGTGCTAGATCTAGGCCTAGATCTAAATAGTCAAAATATTTTTTTCTCCCCAAAATCACTACTTTTGGGTGAAATTAATTTTAAAAAGTACCACTCAAGACATGTATAGGTTTATTCCAAGTGCAATTCTGAATAATACCATATATGTTACGCATATTTTTTTCTGTTTGTGATCCTTTTTTCAAAATTATTTTTAAGAATATTTTTTTTCAATATCGGATGTTATGATCCAAATGTACAAATATTATGGAATGTATGTAAATAACTGCACATTTTTCAATATTTTCCTGTTCTATATACATTTATGGTTATTTTGAGGTATCATTTGACTAGGTGCAAACATGTTTTTTTAGTTTCACCTGAGATTATAAATTTTTTATTTTCCAATTTTATCCGCATCCAATCACAATTGTGTTGCATAATCGCCTTTTACAGGAACAAAGTTGAAAAATACGCTAAAAAATAATGCAGGTGTATTCTACAAACCATACTGAAAATGTTGGTATATAATATGTTGATATTTATTTGAATTTATGGCCCCAAAGACCTGCGAACTGCGCACTAGTCATCATCTCATTTCGCCCTCCCGAAAAGAATTCGTCCACAAGCCGAAAATAATACGTAGCGAATGAGTTAAATGTCTCTTCCACAAACAGAAAAAAAAAAAGTAAGATGTATTGACCTAACGAAATGGCACAAAATTTTAAAATGATAATATAAAAAGCATTGGCAGGGCCAGACCCTCTAAAAAAATAAACTTCAGAAGTTGATAATTTAAGCGTAACACTAAATTATTATAGTTTCAATCAAAAGAATTGAGGACAATGTGCTCAGATCTTACTTACTTGTAATGAATGATTGCTCCATGTGGTCCAATGCTTGAGATTGTGTCGAAGCTCAGAGACACATAATTCTCTTGCTGACTGCAATTCAGGGATAGACAGAAGGCAAACCATAAGGTTTAAGCAACATGATGTGGAATGTCAGTCGTTAGTTTTAGTTTTAGTAAGAGTTTTACGGCACTTGCAACACAGTAAGGTCATATAAGAGCCCAAGATTAGAGATGTTACAAGAGAGTAATAAACACAAAAAAGAAGGAGGGGAGATGGAGATGATAGATTTTTTATAGGAAAGAAGGAGCAAACAACACCAGAGCACCCCTCAACCACCCACTGTCAGTCGTTAAAGGTAACAAAAATATACAAGCTTTCCATCACAACAACAATACAGTTATAGTAATGAATGTTAATCAAAATATGGTTGCAAACACATGTTTCTTTTTAAGAAAATAAGAAAGAAAAGTGTGCGTGTATGTGTGTTTGTGTGTGTGTCTTAGAGTGTGTGGTGTGTGTAAGTGTGTGTGGTATGTGTATGTGTGTGTGGGGGAAAGGGGGGGGGGGGGATTCCACTATAAAATATATAAAGAGCTGTAAACTGCCAGGCTTACTTTTTCACCACACATTATCACATAACCACTAATGATTAAAAACAACATACAGCCATAAATGCTGAAACAATAAAGTAAATGTAAACCAGTGCCACACATTACTCCATGTCCTACCTCCTCAGGTTTTCTGCTTTCTCAGCTGCTGACATCTCTGTAACATTTCCTTTGGGAACCTTTGAAGGTAAGAATTAGAGCCATGGTTAAATATTACAATTATAATAATAATGATGATGATGATAACATTCTTTTAAATAGGATGACAGAGCTTTTATACAATGCATATTCCTTTATGAAAGTACGCTGTGCGCACTTTACAATTAACTGTTTTTCCTACATAATGATGTGCCAAAATGTGCTATCCTTTTCAAAACTTTGAAGGAAAAAGTATCTTGAAAAATATGAGGCCACTAGATCTTACAGAGGCATGGGGTCTCTTGTATAGGGTTCAGAGATACTGAATTTGAATGAACCAATTAAATCAAACATAAAAACAGGCAATGCCCCAACACTCAAACTTTAAACTGAACATGTGAGGCAAGTCACTTGTGGCTCAAACGGAGCACGCATTTCATTTCATCCTGAATAAATCTATTTTCAGTTGGGCTTTTTTCCCAAACTAAAAGCTATATAAATTACAGGCATCTTGGATGTCATGGTTGGGTTCTTTGGCTTGCACTACCATGGAAGAAATGAATTCAACTCTTATATATACGCAGCAAGTTATTAATTTAAGCGCCTCTGTCAATTCACAATCCCTCTTCAGCCTTGCTTGGCTGTGTGACATCCAGGACCTAAGCATCAAGCCCACTAAATTATGTTCATGGAAGCTTAAAAACTTCACAATAATTACAATCAGAAACTATCTGTGAAACAACTGAAAATTGTATTTCGTTTGATTGTTCCTTGACTTACTTCTTTTTCAAGCCAGTGGAAGAACTCACACAGAGCAACTGCATCTTTAACCTGAAGGACAAAATTTGTTTTGAAAATATCAAGAAATGTGTTGTTGCATTTCAAAATAAACTTTGCGCAAGTATGACAGAGGCAAAAGAACTCATCAAATATTTTTTTTTATAGATGGTGTCAATACAGTCGGCAAAATTTAAGATTATCTCTAACAGACTAACCAATTCCCTAAATTCCTTTTGAATACTTTTATATTTCATAAAAAAATACTTGGACGTTTTGTTGTTTTTCTTGGGAGAGTTGAACTGCACAGCAGTCACTTGTATTTTGTGCATTTCATGGAAACAGTTCCCATGTCATGGGGTTCTGCAGAACTCAACAGAACTTTCAACAAGAAGTGACTCATGTCATGAGCAGAGAGAAGGCAATGAGCTACTTGTAATATCCTTACATTGCATATATTTTTACATCAGGAAAACGATCATACTCAAATATCATATCAAATCTCATCAAGCATGAATCTCTAGCAACAGACTGATAGTGAATCAGTCACATCAATATCACTCCTCAAAAATGGTCATCCCAGAAAAAGAATTTCAGATAAGCTGATGAGCAGAGTGATGTAAGGAAAAACTATTCACGCAAGGTTAAAAAAAAACAACTTCACAAGGGAGAAAAATTCCAGAGATGAAAGAAGATCAGAGTCTCGCTCCGTCCAGTTGGGAGTGGTTACGAACAGTCCAACACCATGGTCTGGAAAAGCACCAAGGTGTGCCCAGTTTTAGGTAATTAAAAAAAAATTGCAATTGTATATACAAGCCAACAAGTATGTCTTCAAGCTATAAAAAGTGCTGAAAATTAAAGGTGTTACGAGAGCATACCATACAAAGAAAAGAAAGTGGAGAGATAAGGGCGATAGATATTTGATAGGAAACGAGGAGCGTACCACGCCACTTCACCCGTTAACCACCCACCAAAAGACCTTACCTGAGCTCTCTCCATGCCTTTCATTTCATTCGCATTCTTTACAGCCTTTTTCACAGCCACTGGAGATGGTTCAACATGACGTTTGACCTGATACAGACAAAAAACAAAAAAAAACAACAACAATACATTAAGGGCACAATCTTAAAGAAGTAAACTGTGAACTTGGTCAATTAAAAAATTGCTACAATCCACCAATACATTTTGAGATTTTTTACACAGCATATTTCTCCACAAACAAAAAAGAAAATCATAGAGGTATAAATCAAATTGGGATACAATTTGTTGAAATACATCTTTGAAAAGATGAAGCAAATGCCCGGGGGGGGATTTTGATAGGACATAGATAATTGTTGAATATGATGTAATATATTCTCAGTCATAGAAAAGCTAAAAAAAAACCCTTCTATGATCGATTACTTCTCAATGAACAGAAACAAAAAAGACAAAAGTAACAACTACAAAGGAAAACGCAAGAAGCGTTGTGTCTTAACAAATAGGAGCACTAAAAAAAGGATATACATTATACTGAATACTGGTACTGATATCATGAAAATCCTCCCCGAAGATCATAACTGAAGATAATTTGAAAAAAAAAAAAAGTAAAATTCACTTACTCCATCTTTTCATTTATGACACAATTGTCAATATAGAAAAACAAATTACAGATACAACAAAGCATAATCTAATCTAAACTGACAAAAATCTATAGTTTAAAAAAAACCCTCAGAAAAAATGTACTTTGAAACAAAACACCAAAGTTGCTTACTTTTGGCACTTGTCTGAAAATAGCAAAACTGGAGGTCTCGTTCACCTGGTCAATGAGAAAAATATGAAAGTTAACATTTTGAATGAGATCAAGAGACATGTTAAAAGACAAAATATTTACACAAGGTCATCTTGCAGGCACCTGGGGAAGGGCACCACAGGGAGCTCCACTTCTCTACTTTTTTCGTATTATAATTAATCAAATGAGGGCTTTTAACTAGATGAGGATGACAACAACAGTATCATTGTGATCTTTTAAAAAAGAAGGGGGAAAAAAAATCTGATTTAGAGATCTAATAGATGCAAATTATATATTCTTTAAAGCGCATTATGCAAAATAGCAAAGTATTCATCATCCAACGCTGTAGACTTCTCACCCAGATCTTGCTAGAATCTGTCTGAGCTAGTGTGGACAAAAAGCTGTACACAGAGCTGTAAGGATGGATCTTCACTCCACTCAGATGTTGGCGGACCTTGCTGGTTAGCTTCTCATCATCAATAAAAAGGCTGCAGACATAAGATGAAACAAACTTCTTTATCACTTCGCCATCACAAGGCTCATGTAGTAAAAACTCTTGCCATTAAAGGCAAAGGCACTTTGGAGAAAATCCAAAGAAACGACCTGGTAACCATTGCCGTTGGGCTAGATGAGGCGGCCAAGCTTACAAAACTTAGATTTGCATGCTTACAAATTTAGCAATCAGACATTAGATATTTTATGAAGTTTATCATTTCTCCAATGAGTATCATCAGCTATCATTTATCGTAATACCCTTAAAAATACCACTTAACTTTTCTCTTTATCATCAATGATGATGTATGCCTTGTCAAGTCTCTACTCCTTTATATGTGAAGCATGCTGACAAAATGAGTTACTTCTCGGAATTTAGCCATATGGAAATTGATACAACAACTTTATAGGTGGAGTCTGTAAAATTTTTAAGTATGGAATAATAAAAGACATGATAAACTTTAACAAAATGGCATCAATTTAAAATCTATAAATCTGACTCAAGTGTCAATTTTCGACCAATATCTCCACTCTTAGATGTCGAGAAGTAACTCATTTTGTCAGCACGCCTCGCATGTCATTCGTTATATGGAAGACCTTGTACTTTATTCTTTGCATCTAGATGCAGTATCTACATGCTTGCTTCTTTTTTCTATTTGGCCGTTTGGGATAGCCTAGTCTTCTTAATATGACAGGGATCACTTATGTCATATTCATAACAGATCATTATCCTTTTTTTTTCATGAAACTAAAAATCTTTTCGTTCCCTCTGGAGGTGAGTGAGTGTTTACTTAGTTTAGTTTTAGCAGAGGTTTTACGGCGCTCGCAACTGCATTACAGGTCATATGAGTGAGTGTGCTGGCCTTAGTTCTTTTTATGCGTCCAACTAGTAAAGAGAAAGTAAATATCCAAACTCCCTTGAAGTTTTGTCGCAACATTATACATAAAATGAATGTTGCACACACAGGAATATATTTCAAAGCTTTACATAAGGTATAATAACATGTATTGTTATCATTACCGGAATGTATTAAGTTGTATAATTGCATCTTTCAAAGCGATCCAAATTCATTCAGAGACAGAATCTCTAAACAAGACTTGTCACTCACAAGTCAGATGTTCATTTTTGTGCTTCGTAAACTTATTCAAAGACAAAAATGTAAATTCCCCCAAAATAACTCCAAGAAATAGCCAATCTTCAAATTATTATCAGCAACGAATAATTATTTACTTTATAAAAAGGTACTAAAACCAAGAAGTTCAAGACCACAAATCTATATTACTTTGCACTGTCTCTTGTCACTATGGCATAGGATATGAAGACTGGGTTGAATTCAATGTCAGCTCCCCTCATGTTGAACAGCCCTGGGGAGAAAGAAATAATTTTAATCGAACATGCTCTAAAAGCCATCGGTCTAAGACAAACACCTGAGCAAATGGCCACTTTCCACACCTTCCTTAGGTGTTTTTTTTCTATATTATAATGACATTGTCCAAGACAACTACCTGTCCTCCACGATGGGTGACCATCTTCCATAATTTCGTCTGAAGCCCGACAGATTTCTCAATCGATCACTATAACTTTTGTGGCTAGATAAAAGAAAAAAACGTTCCTGAGACAAAGATGTGTGGAAGTAATTTATAAAAATATACAATTCTTAACGCATTAGTCATTTACTTTATTGGGGAAAGTTTTTCAATCATTTCTCTAAAAAAAAGGAAATTCATTTGTGAACATAAAGACATGCATATCCAAATATCAAAGTTCAGCAAGTTACAGTGCACTTTACATGGGGACAAGGATATGAGAAGATAAACAGCAAGGTACTTTGTCATGCTATAAAAAGACAAATTATAAGTGCAAACCAACAGGCAACTTCATCCAGAGCTGTGATGACCACCGCTGACACGGACAGCTCCACAAGACTTTCTTGAATGTTGCTCACTTTCTGCTGCCATGATAAACCTGCACAGCAATAGAAGAATCAAAGGGAATGAAAATTGAAATTAATTTCAAACAAAACATTTAACCTCCTTGCATAAGACATGTTTAGACAATCTATTTCATTCCTCTCTCTCCTTTACCCATCCTTCACTACGAGTAAAATCTCATGTAAACACAAAAATCATACATCGGAAAAAAGAAAAAAAAATCAACATACTTATTGCTTCCTTCATTAATGAGTAAAGTCTTCATATTCAATTTACAAAGAAATCCTCGGCATTTCGGTTGTCATTAAAATTGTATAAATAATTCCAATGTAATCTCATGAGCAAAAAAAACCCAAAAAAAACACAAACGATACAAGAAACATTAATTATTTTGTCGAAAGTGCACTCTATAGTTAAGGACACTGTGAACAAAATAGTACTGAGGCAACGATGTGCCAATAGTCAATTTATTCAGAACAAACCCACAAAATGTGAGGCATCATGGTGAAATCAGGCTCTCGTCAAAATAAGGAAATTGAAAAAGCTGGCAATTTTCTGCCAGTTTGGCATTTTTTATACAATTTTTTTTTTTCACTCCACACTTTATATGTCCACATAAAAACACATTTCCATGTTAATCTTACTGAGAAACGTAGATTAAAGGCACAAAATATGTGATTTTTCAATTTTCAAGGACTCTGAAGCTATTGAAGTTACCAAGCTATGGCGGCCGAAGTTACCAAGCTATGGCGGCCATTTTCTTGTTAATTTTACCACTGAAACCAAGCAACGCTACCTCCTTCAATCACAAATAGCTCAGCTTCTATTCCAGATAAATGGGTATTTTTTAACGTGAAAGCAAGGGAAATGAATACGCTATCAAATGATACCAGTATCTCCACATGCTCAAAAATTGACGAGAGCCTGATTCCACTGCGTCGTGACACAAATGCTAAAAAAAATTAAAGATATTTACTTTCAGAAAATTTTTGCTTGCTCTGACAAGGTCAAAAGGGATTCCCACCTGCTTCATCTAGAGTGAGGATGATCAGCTGACTGCATGGCGGGTCGGGTCGCTCGGTCCACACAAGGTCAACCAGATTCTCATCCACATCTACCAGCTCATGTCCATCACACTTCAGTTCCTTATACAGTTTCATCCAGCGGTCTAAAGATAAATCAGTCATCATTAAAGCCTGAATTGAACTCTGAATGACTTTTGAAAAAGGATAAAAATGTCTTTCCTCTGGAATTTTTTTTCAGCCAGAAATGACACTCCACTACTACAACTGAATATATACTAAACACATAGACTAAAATATATTAAAACCCTTTTGAAACCTTTTAAATGAGAAAAAAAACCCCAATACATATAAAAAATATTGTAAGAGTAGAAGAGGAAGCTGTTGTCAATATTCAGTGACACGTTGAGCATTCTTCTTCTTTGTTCTTCGTTGTGTTCCCCTGCTAGATCTCACACTCAACAGAATCAGTTTAGTTTTCATAAGTGTTTTACGCCACTTGCAACACAATAAGGTCATATAAGTGCCAAAGATTAGACATGTTACAAGAGAGTAACTAACAAACAAAAAAAAGAAAGAAGGGAGATAAAGACGATAGATGTTTGATAGGAAAGAAGAAGCAACCCACACCAGAGCACCCGCCAGCCACCCACAAGCAGAATCAGGGAGAAACAAAAAAAAAAGTACAATGTACCTCTTCCCAAGGTTGCATTGGCACTATCATGTAAGTACACACAAGGTCACAAAACATAGAAGCTGACTGCTCTTTCCATGTTGCACTACTTTAAAAAAACAAAACAATTATGTTGGTATTTATCATTTGAAAAGGATAGTTTGTCTGCATCTGCACTGAGTCTGGTATAAGAGAAAAGAACTTCAAAATAACAATAGTGGTTTGACTACAGTTGTTTCTTTATCGATGATTTGCTACTTTCCTCAACTTTCAAAGAAATACTCTGCATTTTAGATGGCATTAAAAGTATAAACATAACCCCAAAATACTCAGCTAAAATTGCTAAAAATGATAATAAACGTAATGTTACCATATGCCAGAAGGCTCGGATCACAGCCCACTCTGCCACCAACAGGGAGCACCTGTAAAACAAAGAAAAATTGTATTTCGTTTGACAAATTTACAAATTCGGAAAAATCATTCAATTATCCCCATTCCAGACACTTTACAACTGAATAGGTACAACCTGAAAAGGCATTTAACCCTTTAAGCCCTTCTTCCTAGAGCCAGCAGGACTTGTCCTGCTCACCTCCCAAGAGATGATTGCTACATAAAATAACTGTAATAATAATTATAATAATAATAATGATTTATAGATTTCTAAAACGCCCACTCCCCAATAGGGGGTTCCAGGCGCAATACATCAATAATGAAATCAGTCTTTTCATTTGTTTAAAGTAAGAGTTTTACCTCTCGACAGAGGTGCTGAGGTAAGAACACTACACTACCTTGTTCAGCCACTCTGAGTACGACGGTGTGTCGGGAAGACCTGGAAAAGATTTAATTAATTACTGATTTGAGACATGCACAAATAGACAGCATTTCTCTAAACAATTTTTAAAATGTTAAGACAAGATTCTCAAGATTTCTCTATTACAGTCAAATTACAGTTGTCTCAACTTTGGGCTGCATCAATTATAGTATACCTTAATCTTTAAAATAAGATGAACATCAACTTCACAATCATCACATGCCCCCCCCCCCCCCCCCAATCCCTTGATAAAAAAAAGGGTTTTTAAAAATACTATCAAGATGACAAAAAATACCATAAGTTCATAAGGCTAAGGCAAACGCACTAACCTCAATTGAGACCACATGAAGCAATAAACAGTCTCAGGATTTAAAGTAAAAATATTCACTTAAACAACAATAGATATACGGTAACACACAAAACATTCAGATCATTCTACAGTCGAACCTGCTCTAACGACCGCACACATAAGACAATCATCGGTACAAAAGACCACTTCCCAGTTCCCCCCTTGCGTTGATCTTATATTAAAAGAACATTGTGTAAGACGTCCATCTGTCTAAGATTGCCACTTTTCTCTGCGACAGTGCTAGGCCATCTTAGACAACTTCGACAGTATTTCCATATGAGGGGGTGAGATGCAAAACCCGCTGAGCGACATTTTGGAGAAAAAAATTGAGATATTTTGCTTATAAATGCACATTGTTACTGGCTATCAGATGCACAAAGTGTTTTCAGACAAAACCCAACACATATTTTATAAAAGCCACCAAAAAATCTTTTTATGCATGTTCATGCGTATTGTAGCATTAAAAAAAGCTGATTTTCTCAAAAGTGCTAAAATGGACGTAGTGGGTTTTGCATCTCAGCCCCTCATATGTTCCTCCATGTTCTTTTAACAAGAGTTAAAAAAGGATATACATGCAGAAAATTCTTTGTGCACTTTAGAAAATGCATGCACAGCGGAAAAAGAATGCATTTTACTGAAATCATCAAGAGCTTTTGAACTTGAAAAAAAAAGTTGCCCCACATAGTAGAGAAGTTCAAAAAGCAAGGCCCTTGAGTTGGGAACACCTGTACATTTACAGCTCTATCTGCCATTGACAAGTTTAGGTTTATCGCCCTTTGAAACACTATTAAGTTATGATGTGTGAGGGGGACCTTTGAATTTATTGTCCATTTTCCATTAGGACCATTATCTGCCATCTCTGGGCAGATCTGTTGTCTATGATTTATTTCAACATTACCATCTTTCATGAGTTCCCAGTCTCCGCTGAGCTGCTGACCGGCCTGTAGATAGTAGCGTCCATCTGTCCACAGAGCTGCCAGTTTGGTGGTAACAATTGCAACGCCTAAAAATTAAACAAAATTTTAAAATCCCAATACAATGTAATTACTGACTAAGATTATTACTTATACTATTATTACAACATGTATTTCTATTGCTATTTAAGTTTTTTCTACTACTACCCTTTCTATTATCGTTATATTTGTTTAATGAAAAGTTTCTCCGAAACAATTTTGCAAAAGTTTCTTGAAAAGGCATGAACTTCTCCTTCCACAGTGACCCACCACTTTGTTTCTTATATTCTTGACCATTATCGTACCTAATACAAGTAAATTTGCACACATGCACACACACACAAACACACACACACACTCACGCACAAACACACACTCACTCACACACTCGCACGCATACATGCACACACACACACACACACACACACACACACATACACACAAACACACACTCACTCACACACTTGCATGCATGCACGTATACACGCACACACACATACACACAAACACACACACACACAAATCACAACAAATGAACAACAACAGAAAATAACACCAATAACCACACCTGCTGAGCCTGTAAAACCAGACAGGAAAGATCGCCTACTGTCACATTCAGCAACATATTCACTCTGAAATGAAGGAAAAAAAATGCTTAAACAATTGAGTTTTTTTGGTTTATTTGCTTGTTTGAGTAAAAAGAAGCACATCGACACAATAATGGTCATTAACTGCAGAGAAATAGTAAAAAGGACAGCCAGAAACAATGGAGGGAAAGTAAAGAAGTAGAGCCTACCAGTGGCACCCTCTAACCACCCACTTAAACAATTGTGCCAGGAATTGTTCATATACTTTGTAATAGCACTTAAAAGCTAAAGACTGTATTGCTGAAACAGCAAAACCATAATATAAAGTCCAACATATTATAACAGTAAGTTGTCCAAGATAATCCCCTGTACAGACGACCACTTCCCACTCCACCCCTCTCCCCTCCCTCCTTGCGTTTCTTAACCCTCTCCATACGTCGTGTTTTACTATCATATCCATACGACGTGGGGGATTCTGTGCCACCACTTTCCAAAGATAAAATTTACTCGTTAATCCGATCCGTACGCTTTGCATAGCAGTCTGTCAAATGATTTTTTGAGAAATACTGAAAGTTTCAAAGAGATCATCGCACTAGAAGTATTATAAAATATTGTGAAAAATAATGCAACCCTGGGGGCACAAAATGACCCCAGGCCTACGGATAGGGGTAAAATATTGTAATGGCATTATCCAAGACGCCCACCTGCCTAAGACAACTACTTTTCTTTACCAAAATTGATGGGTAGCTGTCTTTGACAATTATTAGCGCCTAACCACTACAGCACTTTATCATAAGTTTGTAGTGTGTGCAACCAGCTCTTGAGGTAGAGGATAACTTCACGAGAGTCGTTGAATAACGTATTGACTCTAGATACTGTACTCTGGTAGGGTCTGCACGCATGCTTATCCTGGAAAGTACGTACTCGGGTTGTTGGTTGTTTTGGGGGTTTTTTTTTAGG